TTCCATTATATCTCGAAAAATATTCGAAATATAAAAAAATGTTTTATACAAAAGTTTTACATTAAAATTACCTCTATTTATATTGACTCACGTCAATGGTATTTTTTTAGAATAATTATTTAACAATTTTTTTCGAAAATTTTGACAAAAAATTGATAAATAATTGTTCTGAAAACGCAAATGAATATAGCTGATTTTGTTGTAAAACTTTTGTATAAAACATTTTTTTATATCTTAAATATTTTTCGAGATATAATGGAAAAAGCTGAAAACCGCTATGTATGTTAGGGGTGGTTTCACCCCTTCAAACCGTTTTTGGGCCGCAACTGATATTTTCTAAATTCATCTCTTTATGTAAGCTACAAGTTCACCAAGTTTCATTAAAATCAGAATTTGTCATCTCGAGAGGTTCCCTTGTAAACTTTTTTTGCACTTTTAATAATATAGCTTTCCTACAATCCTTAAGTCTAAATGGGTGCATCCAGAAGCAACGAGTGCTCACTGAACAAAAAAGGGATTAATCTATTATTAATATGTTTATACTTATTATAATTCGTAACGTAGAATAACTTTGTCTACTAGATGATCTTTAATATCATATTTCTTACTTATTTTTATTACTGTTTATTATTTCTCTAATACCGTGTTTAGGCCGTAAGGTTATGTAGCGTTCAGTGAACGGTGGAGCGTAATTTTAAGTTGCTCCATCGCTCACTGAGCGCTACATAACCTTACGGCCTAAACACGGTATTAGAGAAATAATAAACAGTAATAAAAATAAGTAAGAAATATGATATTAAAGATCATCTAGTAGACAAAGTTATTCTACGTTACGAATTATAATAAGTATAAACATATTAATAATAGATTAATCCTTTTTTTGTTCAGTGAGCGGTCGTTGCTTCTGGATGCACTCAATGTTAAAATTTACATATTTTATATTAGTCACGGAAAATTTTCCATTTTCATCTGGAAAACCTGGAAAAGTCAGGGAATTTAAAATTCATTTTCTGTGGCAATCTTGAAAACATGAAATGCTAATTAACGAGATAAAAGAGAAAAATATAAGATAAATGTTGAGATGGAGGGAGCCAACGTTGATGACATATGTTGTTAAAACATGTTGTCATGACCCTGAGTGACTTCCAACAGATTTTAGCCATCGCGTGTTATTCGTTAAAAAGTTATTATTAGTCAAAGTTAATAATTATTATCCTACTTATGAAGAATCAGATAACTTTAGATAGGGAAAGATATAAGTGGACGAATTCAAGAAATACAACTTTTTTTACGCGAAGCGACTTTCACTCTCTTGTCAAGGGACGTGCGACTTTCCGCGTGACACAACTTTCACTCTACCTCCCCCCTTTGTCAAAGTTATCCCTCGAAAATCGCTTTGCGCGTCCCTTGACAGGAGGGTGAAAGTCTTCCCTCTTGGTAGGGGAGGAGGTGGGATGAGAATCGATTCGGATAGAAAAAAAAAAAGTTGTGCACCCTTATGTGCTACTATATAAAAACAAAAATTAGATGAGAAACTAACGTTTTCGTCGGCGCTGGCTTCCTCCACATTGAATAACGAGCGACGGCTGTCGCCAAACCTGTTGGAAGTCACTCAGGGTCATGACAACATAAATTTTAACAACATATGTCATCGACGCTGGCTCCCTCCATCTCAACATTTACCTTATATTTTTCTGTCTTTTATCTCGTTAATTAGCATTTTATGTTTTCAATATTTACCAAATATAATATTAAATTTGAAAGAAAAAAATGTTGAATAAGATTAAAAAGCCGAAGCAAAGAAATTCTTATTTCTCTGAAATTAACTAGTCTCGAGTTCCAGCGAATATTAGATTCGCTGCAATGATGCATAAATCTCGTTGTTTCAGCGATATTCGATTCGTCCGACATACTACTACGCGCAGAAAGATAATACACGGCACAGAGCAATTATGTCCTTCAACCGCATAATTTCCTTTTAACGACGGAGAGTATCATCGATTCGTTCGCGCATTGTATTCGTGAATTCGACGTTGGAAGGTAGGTACGAATAAAAAAAAGGTCTTGCGATGATACAGTAAAAAAATTTCCTTGTAAAAAAGTCAGTGTTGCTACATTCTGTCGTCCCCTGTTGGAGAACAACACTGCGACGTTCCGTCGTACTAGCATGCGTTCACGGGAAAGTATCTATCTTTGACGCGATATTTGTGAAAAAATCCGAAATCAAACGCTTCTCGTTCTTTGATGCATCATGGAATGCAAAATTCCCAAGAAATCCTTGAATGATCCGAAGTTGCTGACTGAAACGTCCAAGACCAAACGCAATGGTGACGCTAAAAAAAATAGTCTTCAAAGCGAAGTATCGCTTTCAAGTATTCCTTTGCCAACAGATGATTTGTAAAAATCTTTCTTATCCATTCCAAGACTTCCTTGATCGAATGTAACGTGGTTCAATCAGGTGCAGTCGCGTGTGTGCAAGTAATAACCATCATTCACTTTTCAAAATGTTGAGCAATGAATTTCTGGAATCAATGTGCATGAGTGTCTGCTCTAAAATAAAGGAGTTCTTTGTTATTTAATGTAATTAGTACATTGTTAATTAAATCAATATTATTAATTAAATAATATTAGTATAATCAATTAATGCTTTTATTCGAGCTAACACAGGTTGACAATGTAAAAATTAATTTATTTAAATCAACATAATTATAAACGCAGACGTTTCGATCCTGTTTCGGATCCTTATCAATGCTTCATGTAAATTGTTGACAAAATGTAGTTTACAGACAATTTACATGGAGCATTAATAAGGATCCGAAATAGGCTGGAATAGGCATTAATTGATTGTACTGATTTATCTCAACCGAGCTCTAATACTTAATCTATTAATTATATTGTAAATAATATTAATTTGTACATATTGCGTAGCAGAATTGATTCGTTTCTTAAACAAGATATATATATATATATTTTTTTTGCTATTTCAATCATTTATCTACAATATGTGAAGATATAGACTCTAATGAAATAAATCAATAATTAAAAGTGCCTATAAGAACCAACTGGATAGTGTGTAGTGTGCGCATTAATTTATTCTCTATATTAAATCTATTTATCTATTTATTAATCTGCTCTGACCCTCACGGTTAGGGTTCTATTCAGGTTTCAATGTTTGTAGTAGGTCGAAACATTTATAGAGTTTATTAATGTAGTATTGAATAAATTAATGTATATACTACTATCCAGTGTTGGCTATTATAGGGACTTTTAATTATTGATTCAATTATCTACGAGGGCAAATCAATAAGTACCCGTGTTAATAATGAAGACGCAAGCTTTTCACAAAAATTTTTTATTTTTCAACGTAATCCCCTTTTAGGAGGATACACTTTTCCCAACGCTTCTGCCACTTTTTTAACCTCCCAGAAAAATACGATTTGTCGAACTCTGCAAAATAGGTCTCTCTCTGTTTCAGCGATGACCTCCTCATTCGACTGTTGCATGGTCTCCGGTGTGTAGTAATGAATCCATGTTTCATCAACGATTACGATTCGACGCAAAAACTTGTTCGGATTTTGCTTGAACAGCTCCAAACACTGCTTTGAAATTGATAACCGCATCCGCTTATTGTCCACCGTAAGCAATCGCGGCACCTATCGGGCCGACAGCTTTTTTATTCCCAAGTTATCATGCAAAATATTGAATGCCGTTCCGTACGATACGCCTACGGCCTCTGCTACTTCATGCACTTTCGTTCGGCGATCAGCGAGAATCATGTCGTGGACTTTTTCAACGATTTCCTCAGTAACCACGTCTGCCGGGCGCTCCTCATCAAAAACAGACGAACGACCACGTTTGAATTTGTTGAACCAATATCTGACGGTTGTCACAGATGGTGAAGAGTTCCCATAGACGGCATCCAAATTCGTTTTTATTTCTTTGCATGTTTTTCCATCCAAAAATAAGAAACGAATCATGAATCGATATTGCTCTTTTTCCACTGTATCGGAAAACATCAAACACGCTCACTACGAGTTGCTGTCAAATCAAGACTATTGCATGAATCACTCTGAAATTTTGTATGGCGTTGTTTGAAAGATGGTAGTACACGATGGTAATGCCAACTTGCATCAGCAACGTCGCCTGTTTTGAAACACGGGTACTTATTAATTTGCCCTCGTATTTAAGTGAAAATGAATTAATCAATATAAGGATTGTTGCACAACTTTCTACGAAGCGATTTTTACCTCACCTCCGCTCTGCTTCGAGACGTACGACTTTCTATGCAAACGACTCCATCTTCCAGGTTTTAGCCGTCACTCGTTAAAAATTTATCCGTTAAAAACTTATTAACAATCAAAGTTGTAGTTATTTCTCCGCTTTGTATGAAAGGTTGACTCTGAGCAGGTGGGAGATTTAGAATGAACCGACTAGGCGAGTATAACTTTCTACGTGAGGCAAAGTCTATCCCACTTCCCCCCTGCTACGGGACGCACAACTTTTCACACGAAGCGTAGAAAGAATGAAGCCTCTATCTCCTCGCAGAGGTTATCACAGGATCTAAGATCCAAATGAACCGCATGGTACTGTGACTCTTCTTTAGGGTCGACAAACCAACTAGGGAAAATAGAAGAAGAAGCGTAAAAAGTCGTGCGCCCCTATGCGTTACTATATAAAAATAAAAATTATATAACAAAATAACGTTTTCAAAGAAAATTTTTGTTTTTAAAGCAGGAAATCTATTTTAAAGCAGAGAATTTTTGTTTTATATAGTAGAAAAGAAATGTTATTTTTTTAAACTTTTCTTAACAACACCTTTTAACGAATAACGAACGACGGCTAAACTCTGTTGGAGATTACTCACAATCATGATCTTAACAACATATATCAAAGTCAAGGTCATAGGGGGACTTCCCTATTCGATATATTTATCACATTTTTTATTATAATACACTTACAATTACTATATATTTTTATTTTTGAACATTTTTATGTTTCAGAAAGAAGTTACTGCAATCATCGCATAGTAATTTCGTTCCGATCCACAAGGAAAGATTGCAAACCAATCACCGAGACGATGCCGAAAACAACAGACTAGAAGACAATAGATTAGAAGACAACTCGCAAGATATTGTTCAACACACTTTCGACGCACAAATTTCAAACGCTGCTATTGGAATACCATTGATTAATGTGGTAAACGCTAATAAAACGTGTCAGAGTAAGATTCAAGAGTGTGATTTGTTCAGAAAAGAATCGTCAGATGGCACTAAACAAGATTTTAATCAAAAAGTAGTAACAAACATTTCTCATATTGATGTTACATCAACAAATTATAGAGATATTTTTGCAAAAAAATCTGCTATTAAAGCGTCACCTAGTTTTTCCTCGTCGGAAGATGAATCGCTAAACAAACACATACAAAATGTTGTTCATGAATTTATAAACAAATCATTAGATACAACTGTGCCATTTCAATTGAAGGAACATTCAGACCCTAAAAGTAGTATCGATCCCTTGAAAGATGTTTTTAGAGGAGAACATAGGGAAAAGAAAGACTGTGAAGTAAGGCAAGAGTTTTTCCCAGTAAAAAGCAAACTATTAGATATGTCACAAGAAGATTCCTATAAATCTAAAACTAATAATATCCTTGAAAGTAATATTAGCTCAAGCAACGCAATAATTTCAGAATCGAAAACATATGCAAAAGTAAAAGTAATTAATTTCGTAGGTAAAATTCAAAATGTGTCTACTTCAGAAAAATTGGAAAAGTCAATTGAACATATCGATACATTATTACATCAAACGCCCATAAAGGAAAATGTTAATGAAGCAAAAATGTATTTAGAATCTAAAAATCTGCAAACGGAGAGTCAACCTATTGAAACAGATTCTGAAACAGTAATTAAAAGAAAGATACGTTCCGGAAATTTAGATCGAAATATATCGTTGATAAAGAAACCAAAGGAGAATGAAGTGAATGTGTCACCAAAAAAAGTAGTAGCAGATAGTACTATCGGAACATCTCACTACGAAATGCTATCCGACAATGAATTGGTTCACACAGCAAATGAAAGAAATGAGCAGAGTACGAAATGTATGATAACAGAAAGAGGAAGTTCTAAATTCCTGAAGCGAATAAGGGAACGACATAGGAAAAAAAATAATATGAAGATTATAAAGATACGAACAAAATTTCACGAATGTTTTCGAGGCAATTTCGATACCGACACAAGTGAAAGTGAAGAGGAACGCGAAATTCTGTTGAATCTAAAGAAAAATAAACAACAGTTTGATGATCCATTACATAATAGTATAACAGAAGAAAAGGTAGGATATATTTTTGAAAGAAATAAGTTGACACATGATTTATCGGCTAATAATTGGCAGAAAAATATAGAGAGAGCAATACCAGATAAAATAAGGTTCGACAACTTATACGATTCCACTGTATCCGACAAAGAATACGCTCTGCGCGATACCGTAACAGAAAAACAGATAGAAGATAGTGCATCGTTAGATAAATATGCTATGTTAACTAACAATTCGCAAAATACAGAGAACATAAACTCAGATAATTTATGCGATTCTAGCACATATGCCGAAAAGTTTGATGATATAAACGATGCTACAACAGATGAAGAAATGGTATCGATTTGTAAACGTGTAAGCACTTCTGTTAATGATTCACAGAAAGATATAGACAACATATACTCTGATATTTCATGTGATTCCGATGTATGCACCGAAAAATATTCTCCGTCCAATGTTACAACAGATGAGGAAGTAGAAGAAGAAGCATTGGTTTGTGAACATGGCATGTCAGATAGTAATTCTCAGCAAAACGTAAAGAATAAAAAGGACGCAATCTCGAATAAAATAAAATTTAAGAATTCAAACGATTCCTCTACACACAAAGAAAAGTATGCTACAAAAGAAAAGAATATACATGATGGAGCAACAGTATGTAATTATGATATGTCAACTAATAATTTGCAAGAAAATGTGGATGTATCGGCTGAAGTAAGATCTGATAACTCAAGCGATTCTTCTAATTGCACAAAGAAGTATTGTGCTACAAATGTTATTGTAACAAAAAAAGAAATAAAAAATAAAGCATTGATATGTACAAATGATACGTTAACTAATAATTCACTGGAAAATATAGAGAACGCAATACTAGCTGAAACAAAGTCTGATAATTTAGGGAATTCCATTGCAAGAACCAAAAAATGTGATATTATAATAAAAAAGAAGATAAATCATGACGAGTCAATTAATGATGAATCGATATGCATGTTACCTGATAATTCACAAAAAAATATAGAGAGCGCAATACCGCTTGAAGTGATGGCCGATAATTCATGCAATTTCACTGTAAATACCGGAAAATACATTAAACATAGTACTATATCAGGTGAAAAGAAAGATGGAGCATCAATATATAAACACAGCACATCTAATTTGCAAGAACATATAGAAATCGCAATACCGGCTGAAGTAAATTTCGATCCTTCTTGCGTTTCCATTTCAAATATCAAAAAATATTCCACCCACAATATTGTAACAGACGAAAAGACAGAAGATGGATCAACATATAAATGTGATACACCTGTTAATAATTCACAGGAAAATATAGAGAGTATAATACCGGTTGAAGTACAATTCGATAATTCATGCAACTCTGAGTACGAAATTAATTCCGCTGTGAATGTCGAAAAGTATGACTCTATGCACGATACTGCAAAAGATAAGGAAATAAAAAATAGAACATCAATATGTAAGCGTAACATGTCAGCTAACGAATCAAAAAATATAGGAAATGTAGTCTCGGCAGAAAAAGAGGACATACAGAATTCTTCGTCAACTGACACGGAAAATAATAGTAAATGTGATATTAGCGCGAAACATAATATACCGTCCATGATTGAAATAAATATAGATGAAAATATGAGTATAGAAAATATATATTTAAATAAAAATATAAAGAAAAAAGTAGATACCACTTACAAGGAAGTGGAAGAGGTAAGTGTACAAAATCTGCAAAAAAATCAAGAAATGCGCAATGTCGAAAGTATTGATTTAGCGCAACACAAAAATATGCAAAAAAATGCAACATCAAATTTGGAATTGTTAATCATGTCTACATTTGAATCGACATCGTACAATGTTGATAAAAAAGACAACCGTGACATATTGGGAAAAAATGTCGAAAATTTATTATCAAGTAACGATAACATGGGGAAAGACGAAAAAACAATTGATCAGCTTTCAATGATAACATCAAAATTACAAAAAAATTCTTCGGAAGAAAAAAGTAATGATTCTTTTTCCATATTACCAAATTCATCTAGCAAATCAAATTATAGTGATAATTGCTCATTGGACATTCACTTAACAGATGATGATAACAGTAGTGATATTGAAGTAGAAATAAAAATAAAACCCAAATTGAAATCTCGAGTATCACGGAAATTTTCATTAAAAGCACCTTGGTCTGCAGTAAATACATGTATCAAAAACTTACACACACTTAAGGATAATCCGAGCTTTCTTAATGAACTTTTGCAGATGGATAATAGAACATCTGAAAAGTTTGATCGCAAGGTCACAAATACAAAAGAAAAAGAAAACAATACGTCATTAGATAATATTACTGCCGAGACTGACGAAATCATATGTGATTCTAGTCCTACTACTAAAGATGATGAAAATCATTCTCAACAACGAAATTCTCAAGACCGTCCAATTTTAAACGAAGATAAAAATATAATAGCCTATGATGACAAAAAAGAAAAACATGAATGCACTCAATCTTTCATTCAAACGACTCCAATAATAACTGAAAACAATCTTGACTCAAGTAGACTTGCGTGTGATACATCTGATTTGAGAAAACAGTCACAAAAGGTTGTCACAAACGATAAACAGAAAAACAACGAAGAACAAAATTTTCAAGATAAAACAACTTTAGAGGGAACTAAGTCTGATTTGGAAAAACGGTCACAAAAGGTTGTTACAAACGACAAACAGAAAAACGAAGAAAAAAATTTTCAAGATAAAACAACTTTAGAGGGAACTAAAAATGTGGTGGAGCATAATCAGGTTAAAGAAGTTGAAATATTGTCTGTTGAGAGAAAGAAACCGCAGATAATGACTGAAAATAGTCTTGAATCAATTAAAGCTGCGTACGACATGCCTGATGTAGCAGAACAGTTATCACAAACTTCCTCGGATATGACACATAAGAAAGTACGAGTCCGTTCTATTGCGGAACTTAGTTATCAGTGTATCGAGAAATCTGTGAATCTGACTGCATCGATTCCAAGGAGTGTATGCTCAGCACTCTGCCAGTCAGCATCTCAATCGACCACTGTTCATTCAACATCTTCTCAATCAGCACCTCAATCAGCATTTTTTCAACCAGCACCTTCTCAATCGACAGCTTTTCAACCAATACTTCCTCAATCAACATGTTCTCAATTAGGACGTCCTTCATTAGTACCTCCTCGAGTTACATTTCCTCAATCAACATCTCAGTCAGTATCCAAACGGCCGTCACCATCATCATATAACACCACTCTTAAACATATGTACACCTCAGCTAATACATGTTCCGCGGTTGCACCGGTTGAAGTTAATACTCCAAATAATAACAATGCTCTCAGAAATTTAATACAGATTACAATAAAAAATATCTGCAACAATGTTGGACATTGTCGCAGTCTTGATCAATATAATCATGTAAGAATAAATTTTCCTGAAAATTACGTACAAAGATTATCTATAACTATGCAACAAATAAGTCAAGACTTAGAAAACTTGAAAACGTGGCTGCATATGAAGGATATTGACAGCACGCTGATTTACGTTAATTTTTATATGCCAAAAAATCACCCAGTGACAGTTTCGGAATTGAAGAAATATGCGCAAATTTGTTATGATTACTTACACATCTCACAGCAAAACTCGTCACAATATCCGAATATTAGCAGATTACTTTCAAATGCATCAATGTCGAATGTTAATGCGCAACAATTTTCGAGAAATGCTTCATTTCCAGATACAAGAATGCTAAATCGTGACACATTCATGCAGTCTTCAACAATGCCATGTCTGGCACCAACGACTTCAAACATCAACCAGCAGCAGTTGGTCAGAAATTCGGCTAATTCTACACAAGTACCACACTCGAGACAACCTAGGCCAAATATTCATCAATCATATATGTCTTATGTACCATTTACAGCACAGTCACGTATGCCGAACGCTAATCAACAACAATCTTTAGAAAATGCGAGTCATCCGATACAAGGCCGATATATGCCAGCAAATATATTGAATGTTGGCGTTCAACAGGGTTTTCTAATTATGAATAATATTTCATCATCGAATGTTAATATGTGCTCGCATGAACCAGTAAATCAAGGAAACGCAAACGTGTCTCCTACAACTAACATGAGACAATTACACACCTTGCAACAAAATACAATTAGCAATACTGTAACCGCATCTGCTGCTAATAACGTGCAACAACAGAAACAAATGTATCTTCAGACATCGCAAATAAACTCAAGAACAGCAGCTTATTCATCGCCTATGACAAATCAAAATAATTCTCTTGGAATACGCCAGACTATGCCAGGCTGTGACAATATCAACTTATCTGGATCTTTCACGATAAATCCTGATACCTCAAGAACTAACGCTGCAATGGAAAATGCTAGACATGGGAGTACAAATGTGAATCAGCAGCAAGCAAGCTGCAGTCCACAAGTATCTCAAATATCTTCAGGAAAAACGCAATATTTTCCGCAATACAATCCAAACCAAACTTATCTTATTGTATCTCAATCTGCACATTCCAACATACAAACGCATCCCGTTCAGAATACTTTGCCAAATCAAAACGTGTGGCAGATACAGCAGCAGCAATTGGCGGTAAATCAAGGGAATACAAGTATGCCTCCTACAACCAACAGGAAACAGTCATATATCATAAGAAATGTAGTTAGCAATACTACAACCGAAAAAAGCCAAAGATACATCTTGCCCAAAGATATATCCACATATCCAGTTGATCTATCGATTAATGATATCCCGCAGAATGTACAACAAAACATGTTGCAGCAGAAATTGCCAGTAAATCGAGGGAATGCAAACATGCCTCCTACAACCAATACGAAACAATCACACATCACATCAAAAAATCCAATTAACAGTACAACCGTAACAAGCCAGCATGTAATATCCAAAGATACATCTATATATCCAATTAATCTATCGATTAACAATACACAAAATGTGCAAGAAAACGTGCTGAATAAAGAAGGAGAGATGGCCAAGTCACAAAATACAAATCGCATGCAAAAGAAGGCACAATCTATGAATCTGCAACAAGATACACATCAAGAAATTCTAAGCGCATGCAGCAGATTGCAAAGTGTTGGCACTGTTTCGGAAAACACAAGGTCTTCTATACAACGATTGAGTGTCTTACAAAGTATGATGTCTACAATATCTCCCAATAAAAATGATGCAGTGTTATTTTTGTCTGCAATCGAACAAAAAAAGCAAAGAAACAAAGTTACGTTCTCTAATAATCTGGCGATTCTAACGGACATTCAGAAAATTCTATTGCGTGATCAAATAAAATCGTATTTTATCATGTGGGATGAACTAAAAAATTTGCTTAGCGAGCAGGAATTCGGACGAGTACATAGTGAGAGAATAATATTGTTTTACTCGTACGTGAATTTAGATGATTACATAAAGAGCATAATAAACGAATCACAGACCGTTGAAAAATCCGTCGAAAAAAGTTCACAAGATAATACGTCACAAAACAAGTCAACATTACAAGAGGATACAATACAAACATCCATATACAAGTTAACGAAGACTCAACTTAATCAAGACAATGAAAATAGTTTAGAATATAATAGGATTTTAGAAAAACAATCGGAACAAAGTATTGATCCGAATATTTCAAAGAGTCCAAAATCTACGGCGGTAAAGATTAATTTAGAAGCGTCAAATGAAGAGTCACCTTGTACGTCTGTGGTAACTAAGGAATCCCTTCCAAAAGACACAAGATTACAAGAACAAGATAATAATACATTAAAGAAGCAATTCCAAAAAAATCTATTGATCGATACAGAAAAAGAATCTTGGAATGCAGAAACATTGTCGCCAAAAGAGAAGTTGATCACAGAAGTGTCTGCCAAGAATTTTAAAACGAAAACGCAAGATAATGCGAAAATTAACGAATCTCTGAAAGTGACAAGTTTATATGATCCCTCCCTTAAAAAAAATCTACTGTTTAATTTATTACAGGATGTGCCAACTAAGAATACAAAAGATCAATCAGAAATTACGACGAATAATATAAATAAGAGATTCAGTAATGTAGAAATGGAAAGCGTATGCGAAACTTCTGACATTGTAACATTAAATAGTAGCAAACAAAACGATGCAACATCACGAGCTCAGTATAACATGGAAAACCAAAATAAAATAGTATATAATACCAATAACGAAATATCCAATAAAAATTTACGAGATGGAATGCGTGATAACGTCAAAGAGAATACTGAAATATTAAATTCCACAAAAATACAGTCTGATTCATTGAATATATTGCATATTTCAGAATCGTCCTCGTCAAACAACATAAAGGAATCGATATCTCCGAGAAAATATCTCGGAAAGAAATGTGAATCTACCGAAATATCGAAGCCACATATCGCAGATGAGGAACACGCCGAAGCAACATTAGAATTTTGCTTAAGTATACAGCAACAAGATCCTACGAATGAACGTAGTAATGATTCTACTGAAACGTTTGAAAGTTTCGGGAAACTGTATATCGACGAAAGTGCGGAGATGCAAACTCAGTGCGATAAGATGTCGTCTTTTGAAGAAGATAACTTAAAATCACAAGATTCAATAGAACTATTTGATAACTTAAAATCACAAGATTCAATAGAACTACTTGATACGATAAGCTGCGATTCTACGAAAGTAACATCATTCTCTTTTCTCAAAAACATTGCTAAGGCAGATTTATCTGATACATATCAAGATTTCAAAGCTGAAGCACAAGACATTGAGGAATTCGATGAACACCAGTCGTTAGAAATAGAGAATATGCAGCTACAGGATGTATCATTGGAGTTTGAAGATGAATGCAATGTGAGAGAAAGTGTGATACAATCGATCAATACCATAAAGAAACATGAAGATACAACGAAAGAAAATAATGAACTATCAATAACAGAGGAGAACGAGTTTCAAGAAATATTATCAAATCGTGAAGTTTCAAAAGACACATTGCATGTCGAAGAGAACATGACAGAGTCGATCTACTTAAAATATCCTGAAGATATAGAAGAGGAAAAGATGGAAATAAACGCTCAAAAGCTTCCTGAAGATATAGAAGAGAACAAGATGGAAATAAACGCTGAAGAACTTCCTGAAGATATAGAAGCAGAAATAGATACTTTTAGTATTATTAAAATAGACAACAAAGATAGTGAGCAATCACTATTAAAAATAGAGGAGGTCGGATTTCAGAAAATGTCATCAAAATTTAGAGATCCGGGAGATCTATCAAGTATTGAAGACACCTCAACAGAGTCGATTTACTTTCAACTTCCTGAAGCTATAGAAGAGGAAACGACAAATACAGACACTCAAGAGTTTGAATATATAGAAAAGAAAAAAGCGAAAATGGATACTCACAGTGGTATTAAAGTAATCAATGAACAACTCAAGCATGTATCCGAACAAAAATATAGAAAATCGCGCACTCGTGCACTTAGTTCCTTTCACAGAGACGATTTTCTCGATGTAAATGAAAAAGAAGTTTCTGTCAAAACTGATTTTCTTGACGCCGATGATATCGAATATATTTCCCTGAAAAGCGATGACTCCAATAGCATGCCGAGTATCTTGAACATTAGGAGTATATCGCCATCATCATTCGAGAAGATGAAAAATATAAATGCATTTCTTGAAAATAACTCAGAGTCGTTGACTGAAAATGATGAAAACTCGTTGGATATAAATGACAATTTGGGAATTTCGAATGAGATAGACGATAGGCTCTGTTTACGTTGCAAACGCAAAAGTATGGTATACTGTCAGGCTTGCTTGGAAGCTCATTATTGCTCGAAACGTTGTTCGTCTTTGCATTGGAACGCGGAACACTACAAGCAATGCAAGGGTCGTAATTCGATTATCTGTATCGATGAGTAGTATAAAACTATATATATTTGTATCTTAAAATACTCTACAATAATCTTCTGCTAACATATTGTTAGCATCAAAACATTTCTCAATTAAACAGTATTCATTGTTACATGTATTTAAAACTAAAACTATATTGACGTGTTATTTTCGTAACAAAACTTTTCTATTAGTTATAAGATATATATAATAAGGTAAACGTTCCAGTGACCGGACATGTATCTTTGTCCGGACACTTACACAAAATTTATTATTATTAATCTCAAATGTTTTTTTAAATATAATATAAATACAATTACAATTAAAAATTTAATTGTAATTTTTAAATATAACTAAATTATATTGTAATAAAAAGAGCATTTGAGATTATTATTAATAATAAATTATGTGTGTGTCCGGACATAGGTACATGTCCGGTCATTTTTTTTTTGGAGACGTTTATCTTAATTCGTGTTAATATTTTACGTTTTTTTGCTAATAGAAAAAAAAATAATAGCGAAAAAGTTGAAGAGCGTAATCATATTTAACTTTTTGAAATGTTATTTTTTTCACAACTATACCGGTACGTTTGTAATTGCAACGTGCAATCGTATGATGTGTAATTGTTCGATCTTACGTTAATTTAACTGGCGATTATATATAATTGTATATATTCACACATTTCATATATAAACACATACATACATACATACAAATGCAATAATGAATATATATGTATGTCTTCATTATTGCATTTGTGCAAAAAACATAGAAAATTAGAAGTTTACAATTTTTTCTCTAATATTTTGTTAATAGTCAACTGTAAAAGACACGTTCCTTGTTAAAATATTGTATTATCTGATATATAAGTGTAAGTAACAATAATATATAGACAACACAAGGTATTAATTTAATTACATAATTTGTACGCCTAAATAGTTAATAGCTTACAAGTCAATTACATTTCTTGTTTAGTTTAAGTTAGTTAATATATTTAAGTTTTTGATATTCTTATACCAGATTTGACAATACTATCTACGATTCGAAAAACACTTGTCAATTAATTAAATATTGCGATGTGATAATATATTTGTCGTAACTAAAGCTTTAGATATACCAAAGTAGCGTATTCCTTTTATCTGATCCGAAATGCCGACAACCTTCCTATTGGCTATTTCGCCGTTTCGATTTAATTGTGTGTGCGTGTGTGCGCGCGCGTGTGTGTGTGTGTCTTTAATAGTCGATTTAATAGTCCAATAAGCGCTTAGTATTATTGGTATAGGGACCATGTTCATATATTACTACCAGTTGACTGCCAGTACTAAAAATTTATAGTTCCCGTTACTATACTGTATTGACAACTGGTAATATACGAACACGGCCGGTATGGTTAGTAGGCCTAAAATGGAAGACCTATGTGCTACTTTGATATATTTAGAGTTTTAGTCATAACTACATCTGTTACATGTGAAATATATCAAAGTGTGAAAGAAATATATCATGGAAGAATTGTATTTTAATAAAGATAAACGAAGTCATAATGCTTATTATTTTTAAATCATATTTAAGAACTTTAGATTTTTTAATTCCATATGATATAAATACTCAAACATAAAATTAATAAAGATAAAATTTTTCCTTTATTGCAGATCCTTGATTAATTTAAGTTTAATATAGTTCATAATATTAAATATTTTGATAAAACAAATTATCATATAAACTTATAAATTCAATATAGAGTAA